ATGCTACCAGAGGAACATGCGCAGACATGCTACCAGAGGAACATGCGCAGACATGCTACCAGAGGAACATGCGCAGACATGCTACCAGAGGAACATGCGCAGACATGCTACCAGAGGAACATGCGCAGACATGCTACCAGAGGAACATGCGCAGACATGCTACCAGAGGAAACATGCGCAGACATGCTACCAGAGGAACATGCGCAGACATGCTACCAGAGGAACATGCGCAGACATGCTACCAGAGGAACATGCGCAGACATGCTACCAGAGGAACATGCGCAGACATGCTACCAGAGGAACATGCGCAGACATGCTACCAGAGGAACATGCGCAGACATGCTACCAGAGGAACATGCGCAGACATGCTACCAGAGGAACATGCGCAGACATGCTACCAGAGGAACATGCGCAGACATGCTACCAGAGGAACATGCGCAGACATGCTACCAGAGGAACATGCGCAGACATGCTACCAGAGGAACATGCGCAGACATGCTACCAGAGGAACATGCGCAGACATGCTACCAGAGGAACATGCGCAGACATGCTACCAGAGGAACATGCGCAGACATGCTACCAGAGGAACATGCGCAGACATGCTACCAGAGGAACATGCGCAGACATGCTACCAGAGGAACATGCGCAGACATGCTACCAGAGGAACATGCGCAGACATGCTACCAGAGGAACATGCGCAGACATGCTACCAGAGGAACATGCGCAGACATGCTACCAGAGGAACATGCGCAGACATGCTACCAGAGGAACATGCGCAGACATGCTACCAGAGGAACATGCGCAGACATGCTACCAGAGGAACATGCGCAGACATGCTACCAGAGGAACATGCGCAGACATGCTACCAGAGGAACATGCGCAGACATGCTACCAGAGGAACATGCGCAGACATGCTACCAGAGGAACATGCGCAGACATGCTACCAGAGGAACATGCGCAGACATGCTACCAGAGGAACATGCGCAGACATGCTACCAGAGGAACATGCGCAGACATGCTACCAGAGGAACATGCGCAGACATGCTACCAGAGGAACATGCGCAGACATGCTACCAGAGGAACATGCGCAGACATGCTACCAGAGGAACATGCGCAGACATGCTACCAGAGGAACATGCGCAGACATGCTACCAGAGGAACATGCGCAGACATGCTACCAGAGGAACATGCGCCGACATGCTACCAGAGGAACATGCGCAGACATGCTACCAGAGGAACATGCGCAGACATGCTACCAGAGGAACATGCGCAGACATGCTACCAGAGGAACATGCGCAGACATGCTACCAGAGGAACATGCGCAGACATGCTACCAGAGGAACATGCGCAGACATGCTACCAGAGGAACATGCGCAGACATGCTACCAGAGGAACATGCGCAGACATGCTACCAGAGGAACATGCGCAGACATGCTACCAGAGGAACATGCGCAGACATGCTACCAGCGGAACATGCGCAGACATGCTACCAGAGGAACATGCGCAGACATGCTACCAGAGGAACATGCGCAGACATGCTACCAGAGGAACATGCGCAGACATGCTACCAGAGGAACATGCGCAGACATGCTACCAGAGGAACATGCGCAGACAGCTACCAGAGGAACATGCGCACCAGAGGAACATGCGCAGACATGCTACCAGAGGAACATGCGCAGACATGCTACCAGAGGAACATGCGCAGACATGCTACCAGAGGAACATGCGCAGACATGCTACCAGAGGAACATGCGCAGACATGCTACCAGAGGAACATGCGCAGACATGCTACCAGAGGAACATGCGCAGACATGCTACCAGAGGAACATGCGCAGACATGCTACCAGAGGAACATGCGCAGACATGCTACCAGAGGAACATGCGCAGACATGCTACCAGAGGAACATGCGCAGACATGCTACCAGAGGAACATGCGCAGACATGCTACCAGAGGAACATGCGCAGACATGCTACCAGAGGAACATGCGCAGACATGCTACCAGAGGAACATGCGCAGACATGCTACCAGAGGAACATGCGCAGACATGCTACCAGAGGAACATGCGCAGACATGCTACCAGAGGAACATGCGCAGACATGCTACCAGAGGAACATGCGCAGACATGCTACCAGAGGAACATGCGCAGACATGCTACCAGAGGAACATGCGCAGACATGCTACCAGAGGAACATGCGCAGACATGCTACCAGAGGAACATGCGCAGACATGCTACCAGAGGAACATGCGCAGACATGCTACCAGAGGAACATGCGCAGACATGCTACCAGAGGAACATGCGCAGACATGCTACCAGAGGAACATGCGCAGACATGCTACCAGAGGAACATGCGCAGACATGCTACCAGAGGAACATGCGCAGACATGCTACCAGAGGAACATGCGCAGACATGCTACCAGAGGAACATGCGCAGACATGCTACCAGAGGAACATGCGCAGACATGCTACCAGAGGAACATGCGCAGACATGCTACCAGAGGAACATGCGCAGACATGCTACCAGAGGAACATGCGCAGACATGCTACCAGAGGAACATGCGCAGACATGCTACCAGAGGAACATGCGCAGACATGCTACCAGAGGAACATGCGCAGACATGCTACCAGAGGAACATGCGCAGACATGCTACCAGAGGAACATGCGCAGACATGCTACCAGAGGAACATGCGCAGACATGCTACCAGAGGAACATGCGCAGACATGCTACCAGAGGAACATGCGCAGACATGCTACCAGAGGAACATGCGCAGACATGCTACCAGAGGAACATGCGCAGACATGCTACCAGAGGAACATGCGCAGACATGCTACCAGAGGAACATGCGCAGACATGCTACCAGAGGAACATGCGCAGACATGCTACCAGAGGAACATGCGCAGACATGCTACCAGAGGAACATGCGCAGACATGCTACCAGAGGAACATGCGCAGACATGCTACCAGAGGAACATGCGCAGACATGCTACCAGAGGAACATGCGCAGACATGCTACCAGAGGAACATGCGCAGACATGCTACCAGAGGAACATGCGCAGACATGCTACCAGAGGAACATGCGCAGACATGCTACCAGAGGAACATGCGCAGACATGCTACCAGAGGAACATGCGCAGACATGCTACCAGAGGAACATGCGCAGACATGCTACCAGAGGAACATGCGCAGACATGCTACCAGAGGAACATGCGCAGACATGCTACCAGAGGAACATGCGCAGACATGCTACCAGAGGAACATGCGCAGACATGCTACCAGAGGAACATGCGCAGACATGCTACCAGAGGAACATGCGCAGACATGCTACCAGAGGAACATGCGCAGACATGCTACCAGAGGAACATGCGCAGACATGCTACCAGAGGAACATGCGCAGACATGCTACCAGAGGAACATGCGCAGACATGCTACCAGAGGAACATGCGCAGACATGCTACCAGAGGAACATGCGCAGACATGCTACCAGAGGAACATGCGCAGACATGCTACCAGAGGAACATGCGCAGACATGCTACCAGAGGAACATGCGCAGACATGCTACCAGAGGAACATGCGCAGACATGCTACCAGAGGAACATGCGCAGACATGCTACCAGAGGAACATGCGCAGACATGCTACCAGAGGAACATGCGCAGACATGCTACCAGAGGAACATGCGCAGACATGCTACCAGAGGAACATGCGCAGACATGCTACCAGAGGAACATGCGCAGACATGCTACCAGAGGAACATGCGCAGACATGCTACCAGAGGAACATGCGCAGACATGCTACCAGAGGAACATGCGCAGACATGCTACCAGAGGAACATGCGCAGACATGCTACCAGAGGAACATGCGCAGACATGCTACCAGAGGAAACATGCGCAGACATGCTACCAGAGGAACATGCGCAGACATGCTACCAGAGGAACATGCGCAGACATGCTACCAGAGGAACATGCGCAGACATGCTACCAGAGGAACATGCGCAGACATGCTACCAGAGGAACATGCGCAGACATGCTACCAGAGGAACATGCGCAGACATGCTACCAGAGGAACATGCGCAGACATGCTACCAGAGGAACATGCGCAGACATGCTACCAGAGGAACATGCGCAGACATGCTACCAGAGGAACATGCGCAGACATGCTACCAGAGGAACATGCGCAGACATGCTACCAGAGGAACATGCGCAGACATGCTACCAGAGGAACATGCGCAGACATGCTACCAGAGGAACATGCGCAGACATGCTACCAGAGGAACATGCGCAGACATGCTACCAGAGGAACATGCGCAGACATGCTACCAGAGGAACATGCGCAGACATGCTACCAGAGGAACATGCGCAGACATGCTACCAGAGGAACATGCGCAGACATGCTACCAGAGGAACATGCGCAGACATGCTACCAGAGGAACATGCGCAGACATGCTACCAGAGGAACATGCGCAGACATGCTACCAGAGGAACATGCGCAGACATGCTACCAGAGGAACATGCGCAGACATGCTACCAGAGGAACATGCGCAGACATGCTACCAGAGGAACATGCGCAGACATGCTACCAGAGGAACATGCGCAGACATGCTACCAGAGGAACATGCGCAGACATGCTACCAGAGGAACATGCGCAGACATGCTACCAGAGGAACATGCGCAGACATGCTACCAGAGGAACATGCGCAGACATGCTACCAGAGGAACATGCGCAGACATGCTACCAGAGGAACATGCGCAGACATGCTACCAGAGGAACATGCGCAGACATGCTACCAGAGGAACATGCGCAGACATGCTACCAGAGGAACATGCGCAGACATGCTACCAGAGGAACATGCGCAGACATGCTACCAGAGGAACATGCGCATGGGCACATGGCCTTACAGCATAGACTGCTACCAGAGGAACCTGATCGTCCCCATCATATCCTGCCTCTGCTCTTCCGGCCCGTCCCCTTGCTTCCCTTGCTTCTTGTCCCCATCCCCGCCAGGCAGCAGAGGAGCTGATGTTTGGCCGGGTTGACTACTTCACTCGATCCGACGGCTGGTATTCATTCGCTGATGACCTTGCAAATGGTATGTGCTTTTCTTGTGTGTGGGGGGGGGGGGGGGGGGGGTGTCTTCAATGCTGCATTGCCTCTCTTGTTCCATCTAGCACACCCTCTTCTCCCCCTTCCTCCTCCTTGGCCACCCCAATTGCCCTTTTCTTCTCCCGATTTTCTCCTACACATCGGTCTTGTTCCTTCTCCCCCCTTTTTCCCCCTCCTCCTCTTCCCATCACATCTGCTCCTTTCCTGCCGTCGTTTCCCCCCTCGTTTTCCCCCACTTTGCACAATCAGCTGCTGCCCTCGCCACGGCCTTTGCTCTCATCTGCCGCGCTCCAGAGGTGTGGGGCGCTGCACCCACTGCACCACAGGGGGAGGCGACACAGGCAGAGGCACCACAGGAGGAAGAGGATCAAGCAAGCAGTCAATCTGAAGCCGAGTTCCAGCAACAACAGCAGCAGCAGAATCAACAGCAACAACAACAGCAGCAGCTGCTGCTGCAGAGTGCCATCCACACGCCGCGCATCACAGGCTGGCGTGTGCCCTCCTCCGCTGCCTTCCCTGACCTCTTTGGTGCCGGGCCGGAGGACCTTCGAGCGTGGCCTGAACGCCTGGAGATGAGAGGTGGACAGGAGGGTCTGAGGGGAGGGATGGAGGAAGACAAAGCAGAAGCAGCAGCAGGAGCAGGAGAAACATCAGGAGCAGGAGCAGCAGTGGCCGCAGTAAGAAGGGTTGGGAGAGGCCTGGAGATGGCAGGAGTGGGGGCGCACGAGCAGAGGGTGTTGCAGGTGGTGCAAGAGGCAATGGCCATGGCATCCTCTACTCTCCGGCAGCATGAGAGCGCTCTGCATGCCATCGCATGGCGCCTTGTGGATGCTGGGGAGGCGAGTGAAAGTGAGATCGATGCTGCTGTCGCTGGTGCTATCACTTCTGTTGTTGCTGGTGCCAGTGTGAGCGCACAACACAAGGCTGTACATCCAGCTGCTGCAGGGTGACTCCTTGAAGGCGGTGCTGCAGGTGGTGCAGGAGGCATTGGTCATCATGGCGTGCTGCACTCTCCGGCAGCATGAGGGTGCCCTGCACGCCATTGCATGGCGCCTCGTGGATGCTCGGGAGGCAGATGAGAGTTAGATTGCCGCTGCTATCGCCCGTGCTGCTGCTGGTGCCCAATCAAGCATACAGCATGAGGCTGTGAATTCAGCTGCAGCTGCTCCTGCTGCGGCAGCTGCAGGGTGGTTCCTCTCAGTGTGCCATCGGGAAGTGTAGTGCTGCAGGTGGTGCAGGAGGCAATGGCCCTGGCGTCCTCTACTCTCCGGCAGCATGAGAGTGCCCTGCATGCCATTGCATGGCGCCTTGTGGATGCTGGGGAGGCAAGTGAGGGTGAGATCGCTGCTGCTGTTGCTGGTGCTATCACATCTGCTGCTGTTGGTGCCAGTGTGAACAAACACCACAAGGCTGTACATCCAGCTGTTGCAGGGTGATTCCTCTCAGTGTGCCATCGGGGAGTGCAGTGTTGCAGGTGGTGCAGGAGGCAATGGCCCTGGCGTGCTGCACTCTCTGGCAGCATGAGAGTGCTCTGCACGCCATTGCATGGCGCCTTGTGGATGCTGGGGAGGCGAGTGAAAGTGAGGTGCTGCTGCTGCTAGTGCTGATGCTGCTAGTGCCAGTGTGAACACACAACACAAGGCTGTACATCCAGCTGCTGCAGGGTGACTCCTTGAAGGCGGTGCTGTAGGTGGTGCAGGAGGCAATGACCCTCGCGTGCTCCACTCTCCGGCAGCATGAGGGTGCCCTGCACGCCATTGCATGGCGCCTCGTGGATGCCCGGGAGGCAGATGAGAGTTAGATTGCCGCTGCTATCGCCCGTGCTGCTGCTGGTGCCCAATCAAGCATACAGCATGAGGCTGTGAATTCAGCTGCAGCTGCTCCTGCTGCGGCAGCTGCAGGGTGATTCCTCTCAGTGTGCCATCGGGGAGTGCAGTGTTGCAGGTGGTGCAGGAGGCAATAACTCTCACATCCGCCACTCTCCGGCAGCATGAGAGTGCTCTGCACGCCATTGCATGGCGCCTTGTGGATGCTGGGGAAGTGAGTGAGAGAGAGATCGCTGCTGCTGTCACATCTGCTGCTGCTGGTGCCGGTGTTGACATGCAGCACGAGGCTGTAAATCAACCTGCAGCTGCTCCTGCTGCTGCGGCTGCAGGGTGAGGTGATTCCTCTCACTGTGTCATTAGGGAACGCAGGTCGTGCAGGAGCAAATGCCCCTCCAGCTGATCAATAGGCTTGCAGGTGATCCCTCTGCGTGCCATCGGGTGCTGTAGGTGGTGGATGGTGAAGAAGTTGCTGTTTGGTGCATTGTTTCGTCTCTGACTGAATCCTGCAGTCAGTTGTTCATGTAATACAGAACTTCACACCTTCTGTCTGTAGCAGAGACCCATTTCGCAAACGCATGTGGCTGAAGCATTTCGGAGAAGTACACACTTGTATGGTGGTGATCTGATTAACTTAAAGCGTGCATTTCAAATCAATACACCTTCCCCAAGACATGGATTAATAGCGGCAACCTACTAGAGGGTACACAAACCAGAACGCGGACATGCATGATCTGGAACCCTGCTGTTCGGGCCAGAACCTCCACTCATCAACGTGGAGAGCGTCCACAGCCTCGAGAGCGTCAATAGTGTCAATGACAGCAGCCTCTACAGCCTCGGTAGCGTCGATAGCGTCGATAGTCGAATGTGTCGACCGAACTGGTAGTCTCGGCATGACTGCTTCGACAACCTCAACAGCCTCGGCATTTCGCTCTTCGGCCCAAACCAAATTCAGCTTTGCAGACCCCAAGGACGGTCATGCTGGACATGGTTAGTTTCTAGGCACTGTTTGGTAGGCCCTGAATTCCGCCGGATTGCGATTTTTCGCGAATGGCCTGGGCGACGTCGGTTCCTCATAGCGGCAACCTTTTGCGAGGCACGCAGAGCATTCCGTGCGGACCTCAGTACCCATGACGAGATTAGCGACGAGGTGAGTGATCGGGGTTTGCCCGTGTGAGATCTCTTTAGAGTGATGCTTCGTTGCCTGAGCTGTGATGCTTGTTCGGCAACCAGGCTGTCCCTGGTGGTTCGGTTCGGTGTGATTCACCAGCAGCTTAGGCTCAATGAGCTTCCGAGCCTGAAGCGCAAAATTCTGGGACGCATTCCTCGTTCAGGGCTAGGGTCTGCATGCATGGATGATGGGTCACAACACGTGATTTGAGAATGTCAATCGCATCGCATGGGATCATTCTACACAAACTGCTCTTGTTCGATAGTCACGCATCCACACACCTCCAGCAAAATCTGTAAGCGTGGCTTTCCAGTTTTCTAGCTTCTTTTTTTTTTGTAGAACACGAATTCATGCTCTTACCTGCCAGACGGATTCGTGCTCTTACTTGCCAGACGAATTCGTGCTCTTACCTTCCAGTTTTCGAGCTCTTACTGCTCCCGAGACATGAGCTCCTCAGACATTAGTTGCCTTCCTGACGAAGTTTTGATAAGAATTTTCTGGCATTCAGACGTAACCATCCCCAGACCCGAAACCGCTGCTCGTTGGTCAATGTCTGTCCGAGATGATAAATTTTTACCGGACCCTCATCCCAAAAATCCGAAGGGGGGAGAGTATGTTCGAAGTAACATTTGAAGTTACTTTGGGGGAACAGTTTCGAATGTATGTTTGAGGTTACGCCTCATTCTACTCTTCGAGCAGACCGCGCAGGTTCACCCCCCAAAGTTTTCGGAACCAATCGTCAGGTACCGCATGTTCGGTTCGGGGACTTCCACGATTGGCCAATTGTGTGGTTCATTTTTTTTGGCGACTTCAATCATTGGACTTCCAGGTGTTTCGGAATCGATCCAATTGGCCGGAAATTTGCGACACGCGCGAACAAATAGCCCGATAAAACGCATTGACTGTAGCAATAAGTTGTATAGAATATTACATTTTACGCAAATTTGAACTGGCAATATATTTATGTTCAGTTATCGTTGGTTTACGCTTGAATATGTACATTAATAAGAATTGATTTCCTATTCCGTATAATATCGAATCCATAATTTTAATGCATACCTGCATCCATAATTTCAGTGCATACCCGCATTTGCATACAACCTCCTGTGATTTTCTTATAATGGTTCAGCATAAAGAGTTGATTTATAATAATTTTATAGAACATCAACGACATTATCGACAAAATAACACTTCTGCAAGCATTATCAATGCTAACAATGATCTGAGTTCTATAGAAATAACCTTGAAAAGGAATAACATCCGCTGCTCAAATAAGGAAATGTAGGGCCTGCACAACGAAACTGAATGTAAACGGAATAACAAAACATGATACAATCTTACCAGCAACCACTGTCATCGTAAATTATTTCGCGATTACAACCTGCAAGGAAAAGGAGACGACATGCAAGAAACAACAAGCGAGCTGCAGTAAGAAATCAAGAAACACAAGCTGAAATAGCATGCACGCCATACCACGGCACGCGGCGACCACGCTACCTGGTCCATCGCGTCGGGCGCCGACGGGCCTGATACAATAAAAATACATGCTAACGTAGTGACGGGATGGGTCAACACTGCAGCACCATGGCACGTACGCTGGGAGATAAACAACACCAGCGTAAGGTTCCAGTGCTTACCTTTCTTCTGAGAATATGGAACTGTCGTCGTTCACACGTCCCACCTAGTTGCTCAGAAGCTGACGAATGCTGACGGCGAAGCTTGGCGATTCTGTAAGTACCGCAAGGGGAGAGACAAAGGGACGAGAGGGACCGGGGAAATACTCAATGCGAGAAATACTCGCTAGTACTCGATGAGTTGAGCTTCGCAACAGGCGATCGAGATCGAGCAAGGCAAACAAGGCCGAAAATAAAGTTACGAAGTCAGTGTTGCCTGTTTCTAAGGTTCCTTAGCTTGAAAACACGTGGTGAGTTGAGCTTCGCTGAGAAAAAAAACTGCAAGAGGGAACGAACCTGGACTTTGCAGCTGCGGGGACTGAAGTAACAACTAATAACAGAGTTCCCTACTAACAGCTCGTCGAGCAGATAAAATGAGAGGCTCGGATTTTGCTCATGAAAAGAAGCTTGATAACGAACAAGCAGATACGTACACCACACCCACCACCTGCGAAAGCTGGCGGTTGCCTCGCTGGTACGTCAGTGTGGCGACAAAACCGCCCACTGCCCTACCAGCGAGGCAACCGCCAGCGTGCGTCGATCATTTTGATTCAGCCACTCAGAGGCTCAGCGAGGCAGAGCAGAGTCAGCGCTGTTACAGAGGTGAGCCACGATTGGACACACAAGCATTTTCGGCGTACAGCGACGCACTGCGACGCAATCGCACAGGCGTGTATTGCAACCGCCAGCTCGACAATTGGGGAGGGCTGTTACAGCACGGCAGGTTCACGAACACTGCCGTACACAATATTCGTGCCGAAGACCTACCCACTTACAGGAGCCTTGTTCGTGCAAGGCACAATTTCGGAAGTCAAAATATACACAAACAAAATTTCACAAATCATAACAAACATAGGCGATATCTGATCACAGACAATTTTGAAGCCCACGAATGGTGAGGTTCATGACTGAATTTGTGATAGTCAACGGAAACAAAACACATACAACATATACGGCAGTATTGAACGGCAACGTCTATGCTGAGAAGAATGAAGAACGAGGATGGATGAACTATGAATGAGGTGAGTACATATAGACAACCCTAATTGGGTTGTACCCCCTATGGGATACCCCACTATAGCCTACACAACAGCATAAGCTATATAATGTTCTGACACACCCCCATAGGCAAAGTGGGGGAGAACAAGGGGTCACAAGACCAGTCAAGCAAAGCAGAGCAAGCTCAGGGTGGATCACAACGTCACCACACAGTCCGAGCACAACGACAAGGCCACAAGGCCAGTTCACATGCAGGAGTACACATATATATATAGAGCTAGACA